ATTTCACCTGAACGACAACACGCAAAGTGAAAAAAAACTTTCATTGATATGTACTCCACGAGGGACTGGTTGGGTTATTACACACCATTAAGGTCATTTTCCTGGAGAGCGATAGAGCTGACTTGAACAACATATCCTTTTGACTTCTAAAGTGTTATCTCTTTCTTTCAGAGTTCATCACCCGTTCCGGCTTCCGCATTTGTGTCAAAGAACTCTTCATCGAGCGTTTCGATCCATTGACGGAGTTATATGCAGTACTATCAGGTAAGAGTATTTAATATTCCAAAATCACTTCGCTTATGAGCAAACCCCCAAAGCGTTAAGAATTTGAATCAAAAGAGGCTTGAACACATATGGTAGTAAGGTCTTCAGACCCTGTGAAAAAATATCTCAGGGCCCCTAGGTCCCATAATCTCTGACAACACGTTCCTCTCCCCTTTCCTCCCAAGCGAGAAGTTTACCTTTCGTTTCACCATTTATTCCAACAGATGTTTGGGAGGATGACTGGGAATATTTCAATGGATATTGCTTCAGAAAAGTATCTTCCTGTGATTCTTGGACCAATGGTCAGGGAATATGCGCAGCCCTGGGAGCTAATCTACCAAGTATCCATAGTCAAGAAGAAAATGTTTATGTTCAGAGTCTACACGGCGGAGAACATTCTTGGCTGGGACTCTCTGATACCAAATCTGAAGGGCCCGAAGGGACCTTTGATTGGAGCGATGGAGCACCATTTGACTTCCATTTCTGGGCGGAACACCAACCAAAAAAATCACACAAACAGAACTGTGTTCATACACTAGGTTTCCTTCAAGATCACCGGTACCAGTGGAAAGATGTAAATTGTACTGAATGTCACAGATTTACTTGTAAGAAAGGTAGGATACAGTTTGAAGGATAATGGAAGATATCACCAGCAGTGAGGAATTACTGACGGTGATGAGAGTGATGAGAGTGATGAGAGCAATAATCTCGGAAAAAAGAGATGATGTCATGATATGTCTCGCAAATTTTCATTTTTTTCTCAGATGCAAAATTGCATGGAGATGAAGGTCAACAAACTGACTTCTCCACTTTGATACTTGCAAAATTTTAACTAATTTCTATCTTTACTTTTACAGACTACGACGAATGCAAAGATCTTTCTTACGATTGCCCAGAGAATGCCACTTGTGTGAATAGAGATAGTTCATACTCATGTCGATGTCCTTTTGGATTTCGTTTGAATGGAGACAACTGCTCGGGTTTGTAAAAAGC